TTGCTGGTCAGTGTTTATGTCTTCTCTTAGGTTCGTGAAGTCTGCATTGGGAATTGTCTGTTATGTTATCCTTTTTGTTCGGCCTGTTTTGTTCCCAGGCCACTAACGAAGGATTAATAAAAAAAGTAAATTTATATAGCAATATAAGAATACAAGAATTATCATTTTGCATTTCATATTTTTCAATATTAATAAATAGTTGTTGGTTTCGCACACAATGTGATAACTAGGAGGAGGATTTTAATGATATGTCATTTTTTCTTTTCGCTTTAGAACAATGCCTTTCAGTATTGTTAATCAGTTTATGTTATTACAAAAGCAAATTACATATTTTTAAATGGCATTTTTCCTCGATTTCGACTGATTTATTTTTTACCTTTTCCCGTCATTCTTAAAGCATTTTTCGCTGATTTAATCAATTTTAATACAATTTTAATTGTACTTGCTACAATTAATATTTACGAGATGCAACAAATGATCTCCACAGAGTGACTCAGTAGCCTATTAACTTTCTTCGATCAAAAATTAAAATGCCAGCCATTATATGTAATCTAAGGTTTCTGTGATGCATATCAGAGCCATTGACGGGGAGGCCGATTTCGAGATAACTAAAGACAGATTTCCTGGTGAAGATCAGTCCAAACCAAAAGTTTGCCAGCTGAGTGCACTTGAACAAAAGGAAAAAGCCTCAATTACTCAATAACATATCGAACAGCTTAAGTTGTTCATCTGAACTGCCTTTGATAACATTTTTCACTCATTTTTCTTTTCTTTTCGGACATTTTATGAAATTTAAGAGTTTTTCTTGATCATTTTTGGCGATGTTTTAGGTCATCAAAATCATTAACGTAGGTTCTAATGAGGATGCTGATTTTTTTAGCATTTTCTAAAGTACTCGAGCATTTCTTACGTAGGACATTTCTTGTGAAAGGTTTCTTTTACTTCCTTATCTAAGAGTACGGTTGAAATATTATCATGATGGAAAAATCGAAAAATCGATGTCGACATTTTGACAGGATTTGCATCTTTTGAAAGGACCCTAATTCCGGAAAAGTTTTCTTTTTCTTTTTCAAAAACAATTGCCTGCCGCCTGTCAAGCGTTTCTCCATCCGTCAGTGTATGGGCAACACTAGAACCTCAACTGTTCACCCATTTTTCTTCAAAGTGGATATTCCACAATCGTTTTGGATGCATATTTGCGCTTTGCAAATTTGAAATGGATATTGGAGTTTTCAGGGAGTTCTTTGACACAAGCTTCTACGCCATTTTAAAAAATTATCAAAATGTAGTTCCAAAATATCTCTTAAAATTTGTTTGCTAGAATAGGACAAAATATGATTCTAGAAATCGCGCAAGTCCTTTATTCATTAAAGCAACATAATTTTCAAAAAGTTGTATACGTTTAAAATTTTGTGGATTCCCTCTTTCAACTACATTATTATAGATTTTATTTTCAATGAAATGTTCTTCAAAATTACACTTTTAAATGAATTTAAGGACATTTTAAATGAGTAGTTTCCCCCCATTTCTGTTTAAAATTGTGACCATTTTTACAAAACACGAAAACAAGATTTCTTAATAAATAGCTTAATAATTTTTACTTTGACGTATACGTACGTATATACGGAGTAATGTACGTAGTATAGAAAAAGTTCCTATACTAACCTGCAGAAAATCGATTTCGAGATTTCGACGAAAATACGCGTTTTGGGGTCCCCTGATACCGAAAACGTGTTTTTTTCAAAACGTCCGTCTGTCTTTCTGTGCGTCCGTCCGTTGGTCTGTCTGTCCGACCGTCCGTTTGTAGTCTGGGAAAAAAATCTTTAAAATTTGTGGGTAATTTCCACGAAGCCCCTCAAACATTTTCAAAATTTTCTCAAAAACGGCACCGATTATTTTCTTTAAATTCCCTGTAAGAATACAGTAACATACACTTATAAATCTGGCATAGGTCCGATTTTTACGGTTAACTCTGAATTTTCGAAATTTTCAAAAGAATGATTTTTTTCGGTAATTTTCTACAACTACAAAATTGAAGATAAAGATTTATCCTACAAATAAAATTATTATTTCTTAGTGAGTTTTTTCATTAAGGTGATGTACATTTTTTGAAAATGTTAGTATTTTTCGCGCAATATTGCGTGCAATATGTGCAATTTTAAAAAAAATACGAAAACAAGATTTTTTTTCAAAAAACGCTCCAAATGTTTACTTTAAACAATTGATAGGGATAGCTAAATGTACTCTATAAGATGACATAAATGCCATATTCCTGAATTCTTTTGTTTTTTTTAAAAATTACAAAAACATATTTTGACTTGATTCTCATATTGTTAATATGTATATTAGCGGCAATTTGTTCACATTATTAGATTTATGAGAACATGTGCTTTAAATAATGCCGTATTAAGTTTCTCGAAAACTCTATCATTTTCTGTGAAAACTAGTTGAAAACTCATTTTCAGAAACTCCATTTTCTCAATAACGGCTCTAAATTTTTCTTCACACATTTCGAACGGATAATGGTAATTGCAGACTTTAATATGACGGAAAGTTAATTTCGATGTATTTTTTTGTTTTTTGTGTGTGTGGACTGACGCACCACCATCGAATAACCAAACCACTTTTCGAAGCAAAACTATCCTTCACACTTAAATTTTGTTTTTGAAAACAAAAAACGCAGTTTTTGCGTATTTTGAGATTGAAATTTGCAAAAAAATTCTCAAAAATCGCTCCAATATTTTCTTTATATTTCCTCCACATATGTAATAAGGAACTGTACGAAATATGGCGCTAGTTTCATGTTTGGGTATTGCTTTTCGTAAATTGTTGGAACCATATGGACTCAAAGTTATTAAGATAAATATATTAAATGTTGCAAAGCAAATTAAAGGCAGCGTAAGCATAAATAGGCCCACTTTTGCTATAGTACTGATTTCATGCAATGTTTATTTTACTAACCATAGCACGTTTACAAATAATGTGGTGAAGTGATACGTGAGATAGGGGAACACCTGCACGTGTACACTGAGGTTGTGGGGTCAAACCTGCGTATGACGTGAATTTAAGTTAATGGCGTGGGGGGCATTCCGACTCCCTTGTCTATTACCTTCAAGTCCCACCTTCGAGAAGTCCCACCCCCGAGTCTCTTCAAATCTATCTGCAAGTGATATTGAAGAACTAGATCCCTACACCCAGAACCATGGTGCAAATACAGAGCTGGTCCAAAATATCCCATGGACAAATATGTATAGGTACAGGACCGAGAGAGGCCTTTGTGTCCCCAAAGGAGCGGTTGGTACCGCGAGAGATTATGATACTTTTTTTGCCGCCAATAGATGGCAGCTGCGAAGTGGGGAAAAACCGGAAAGCTAGCCCAGACTCAAGAGAATGGAAAACTAGTATGAGAAAGTATGATCCATTTTTTACCACTACTTTCTCGCATATAAACGAAATAACAATTGTAGTGTAAGATTTCGACGGTAATACACGTTTTAAGATCCCTTGACACCGAAAAACTGTAACTTCCTCTCTGTACTAAGTACTTAACTAATAAAGAAAAAATACTGAAATGCTGCGACAACAAAACGGCGATTTTTCAACAGAAAAACTCATATTGTGGTGCCATGCCTCGGAAAAAGTAGATAAATCTTGTTCCATTCATAGTAAATTAACGTATGTCAGATGTAATATGTTGTCTAGTCTAAATATCTTTGGGTCCTTGATACCGAAAAATTGGCGTTTGTACGCCAATCCGTCCGTTCTCACATCAGTCTGTCCGTCAGCCCGTGCGTTCGTCCAACCCTCAGTTCATCTGTGCTCAACGCTATCGCCTAAACCGTTCAGACGATATTCTCAAAAATGACATTCCCTGATCGATGTGGATGAACTTGAAACTCTGTGAGTTTGAAAAGAATACTTTGGCTTTTACTTTATTCTGCATGAGGCCTTAATATCATTTACATACTTTACATGAAGCCATAACATAATTTTCAAAGTTTTATGAAAATTGCCTCCAGATTTTTTTATTACACTTTTTCCTCAGTCAAAGTACACCTAAAAAATGATGCAGGGCCTCCTGACTTCCTTTTTACATTTCAATTGCTCTTAAAAAAGGTCAAGAAAGCCACATTTTTAGGTGATCAATGATTGATTTTGTTCAGACTTTCGATCATTAGGTTATTATTTTTTTAAAGAGAATGGACATGGAAATAAGATGACGTGGTTTCACCATTGCAAAATCATTAATATTTTTAATGTTATTTAAATTAAAATTAAATTGACATGAGAACCATACCAAAGATTTGGTAAATTTACCACAATAAAGAGACCAATACCAAAGACTTGGTGAATTTACACTCGTAACATTCAAGCGTGGAAAGAAATTCAAAGTCGATTAGGGAAACCTACATATTTCGGCAGAGCGGATAACATGCACAAAATTCAGACAACAATTGAGAAAACGAGCGTTGGAAAATATTCATTCGCGAATCAAACTATTTGAGACTGGAACGATTTGCCTGTGATAATCTTCGATCCCTTTCCTCAAAGTTTGAGCAAATCTAAAAATAAATTAGTTTCCTGAATGTTATTCTAAATATATTTAATATTATTCAGTGTAAGTATCTGTCTTCTATGTATTATAATAATAATAATAATAATAATAATAATAATAATAATAATATTAATTATATGCAGTGGCGTTGTGAAACTGTGGGAAAGGAGTGTGTAAGAAAAACATTACAGTTCCGTTAGCTGCAATGCAGTGTGGTGAGGCGAAGTGCAATGAAAGATTGCACGGTGAAATGTTCTCGTTAATTTGTACAGCTTGTAAATTTTGTTAAAAATGTTGTTAAGTTCTGTAATGTTAAGTTAGTGTATTCTGCCACCAAGTTCTCAAACTGAATTGCAGAATTAGTAATAAATCTAATCCATCTCCATTTCATTTCAGGAAGAAGCCTCCTGCGACGCCACTGGGCATCTCCGACGACGAGTACCACATGTGCCACAAACATCGGGGCAAAGCCATAATTTTCAACCACGAACGATATGATGAAAATTTGAGTTTGAAAGTACGCCAAGGTACTAAAGCCGACCGCGAGAGACTTGAAAAAACACTTCAGAACTTAGGTTTTGTGGTACGAGTTTACGACGATCTGCCGAAAAAAGTTATTCTTGAGAAACTGATTCGAGGTACGTATTAAATCATTATTAGTATAGTCCTAGATTTTAATTTGACTAGAAAACAGGAATGCCATATAACATAATGCACTAATTCCAAATTACGGGTATCCTGTGATACTGTCAGACATGGTTGTAGTTCATCGGATAATCTTTGTTTAATTTTTAATTTAATTGCTTCTCGTTTTAAATTTATGAATTTCGAAGATTTTAAGGTAAAATAAACACAGAGCTTTTAGGATATGGCCATCCATAAGTCTGGATTAGATTTTTTGACTGAAGTTTGGGTTTGACTAGTATAGAGCTAAGTAAGAAGATTGTAGAGGGCGGATGGTTCAGAGAGAGATTTATAATAAGTTAGGTACTAAGGATCCACACTATAATACATATGTGCCCAATATAAGTGAATTATATTATTATGTTAAGGAAGATTGAATCGGTCTTTTGGGAATCTTGATTTAATGCGGGGTCTGTTTTTGTTTCTACCTAAGTTAAACATTGTAGAACAAGGAAAGTTTGGTAAATTGATGAAATTGTTGGCTATATGTCTTCTTGAGTTCTGATACAACTAACTCTCGTTGATCGGGGATGGTGCATTTAGTGTTGAATATCTCCATATTGGGCATGCATGTGTCATTGTTGGTATTATGACTAATTTGAAGACTAATAATCTGCATTCTACTCTCAACGCTGAACGACGATTTATGAGCGATGCTAGAATAAGGATTGTAATTTTTGCGTTGTGTGGCACTGCATGTACGAGTACATGGGGTTTCCAGGTGAGTCCTTTATTGAAGTATAATCCTAGATACTTAACCGGGAAGGTTGACCATGTAATATAAGTCCCTTGGAGATTTTTCGGATGACGGAGAATAAATATTTTGGATTTGCTCTTAATAAGTAGATTGATTCTAACTCTCAAATGGACTGAAAATTAACTTCCTGGCATATCTCTCTCACCTACCACTCCCCCACTTCTTACTTTGGTCTAAACTTGTCAAACCCAAAATTCACTGAAGAAAATCAATTTAGACTTAAGGGTGGCCATAACCTAAAAGCTCTGAATTTAATGTACCTTACAAGGCACAAAAGACACAAGTGTCGAACGAGAAGCAACAAATAACTAGTGGTGCTACAGAATGGCACGGACTTTCTCGTATTAGTTTTACATTTTCTTTGATCTGGGCTAGCTATTCTGACTAGTCCCATCCTCTTGCCAGCTGCCATCTATCGCCGCCCAAAGTACATTTTTAAAAAAATTTATTAATTTTTCGGTCTCCTAACAGTAAAATTGAAATATTATTTTTAAAATATTAAAGAACAGAAAATCCTCATCCTATATGGCAATTCTCTTTGAAGATTTTGGAGCTGTTTTTAAGAAAATGTTATGAGTTGGCTGGATATAAAATCTACTTCAGGTTGCAACCAGCTACATAAGGAGCAGATCTAGGAGCTATCTGTGCCTCAACAATACTTTGCGTAAAATGTGGGCTGGTCCAAATAAAGCAGTTTCTTGCGCTTCCCAATCTTTTGAAAGACCTGCGAGTTTAGCCACATTCTTACGCACATTTTGCGGAACAAATCCTGCCTCGGAAAGAGCTCGGATGACTACGACTCGTACGACCTATTCTTTTATGCACCACATTCAGCTGATCTCGATTTCCAAACTCTTCTACTTAAGACGTTCTTCTGCCTCCTGGGTTACGTTTTGATCGCAAGGCATAGCAACATCTACAAGTAGACACGATTTTTCTCCAAACCTCGGATAACAATATCCGGTTTGTTTGCTGCTATCATGCGATCCGTTTGAATTTGTTGGCCGTACAATATTGTATAGAGTCCAACAGATGTCACCACTTTTTGTGAATGTTCGTATCACTTGGGGCATGTGTTTGGAACTTCGAGAGTGGTACAGATCTGCCAGAGGAGGTAACTACACACCCTGTCGTATATTTTCAAGTATTCGGTTTTTGCTAGAAGTGGTCAAACTGAGACGATATCATCAATGATTTATACTTGTTCCAGGCAGATGCTGCTTTTATCATCTTGGGAAATTTTGAGAACCGCTTTATCATAATATCGTGTTCTCAACGTCTGATCCTGAGCGGCTATTAGAACTGCTTCCGATTCTGCCTACATTCCTCCCCTTTTAAGACATAAATTATTGATCTTCATTGATCTAGACCTTGTCCGTTTTTTAGATATTGTCCATGGAGTGGTGTGTCTTTTCAAGATTTCTTTAACATTTTTTGTGTCTTACATTTCATGTAAAGTATTGTAGTAGCATCAGAAGTTCAGTGTCTGTGTTATTCTGCGTGTCTTGCATATTTTCTTAGCAATGCTTCTTTCTACACTAACAATGTCTCTGTTTCTCATTCTTCGGTCATATTTCATAACCTGCCTCATTAGAGGGTCATCTTGATGACTGACTACATACTTTTTCATCCCGACTATTGCATTATTGTTGCGTTGCATTATTATTATTATTATTATTATTATTATTATTATTATTATTATTATTATTATTATTATTTGTGTCTGGTTTTCACTCTTTGAGAGGCTGTACAGGAGTATCTCAATCATTGCAGCACAGTGCAAACAATTCTAAGTTTCCAGAATCACTGATTTTTGGGCTTTAAGAATTATAATACTATGATCTAAGCCAACAGTTTCCAGTATCTCTTCAAAACTTTTGTTGACTGAACCAGTTGCTGTGATTACTATTGGAATTATTTTCACTGAATTGAGTTTATACATTTATTTATGTTCAATTGCGAGCGGGGTGTATTTAGATATTTATTCAGATTCAAATGTATTAATATTTTGATCAACCGGATGAGTGACATCAATGAAAATTGCCTTTTTTCTCTCAAACTGTGTAATACAATGTCGGATCTATCAATTGCCGGCAATACACTTATCTCTATGACTTGGAATATTGTAGTACAGTTCGAAATGTTTGTTTTCCATTGAATGCCTAGCTTTTCATTCATAATATTGGCAGGCCTGTTCGTCTAAGAGAACTTCGAGTTTTAATACTAAAGCCTGGTGAACAAAGCTTGTAGTGAGATTATGACGATGAAGATACTAATGTATTGGCCATATTTGTGCCTGCTGTTAAAAGATGATCAATTGTTTCTGATGATTGGTGGCATCTCCTACATTCATCTTGGATGTCTTGTTTTTCTATGTACTTCTCATTGTTATGCATGGCAATAACTTGATCTTTAGCATGGTTATAACCTTCAGTTTCTCCAAACAGAAACTCACGTCTGAGCCATTGCGTTGATGAGTATCAACACTGTCGAAAGATTGGGGAAATCTACCATGGAAAACTTTATATTTCCATTCTTGAACCCTGTCATTAGCTGTGATGTGATTGTGATAAGCATTTTTGCCTTCTAGATTTAGAGGAGAGCAACCTTTGTTGGACACAACAATGGCATTGTGCAAAGCTGATGTTTCAGACCAAGCAAAGAAATACTTCTTAATCGTTGTTGTCTGCCAATTGCAAAGAAATTTCAGATCCAAAAGGCCTTCTCTTCTCGGGATGTAGAGCCGCTCCACAGATGATTTAGGACATTCTGTACTTTATGTTCTTCGTACCATGATGATAAGGTTTTCAAGATTGATTTGAGACCAGTGTACTACCCCAAATTAATACGTAAGGATTGGCACAAACACCCGTTTTTATTTCCAAAAATTTTCGGAGAAGTAATTTGAATCTCATTTCAGTATCGATTGGTGGATTGGTTATTTATTGTATGAGTTTGTCTAAACTCCATATATTTGTAAGTACAATGTGAGGCCAAGAGCTGTATCTTTTTCCAAAAGTGTGAGCTCTTTGGGCTCATTGTAAATTCTTCCTTTTATTAATCCTAGGTTGCACATTTTCGATGCCGAAATGCATCTGGATATCATTACAGAACATAGCAGTGATATTGAATAGGCTTGTTAATTCCACTTCATCACTGGCATATAATTTCACGCCATCCATATACAACAAATGACTTATGGTGTAGACTGGTTTTATCTTCTCCATCGTCTGAAGCTCCTGACCTGATTGATTCAACACTCTAGACAGAGGATAAATTGAAAGGCAAAAATACATTGATCTTCCATGTATCACCTTGAAATATGCCACGTAAGGGGGTATGAGCTTTGATCTCGCTGTCTTCCGGCCGTCGGAGATAACTAATTCAGACTAGACCACGAACTCATAAGTGTTGGATTGAGATATATTTAGTTGTTTTATAGTTAGGGGAGTATAATTGCCATCTGCCTGCACGACTAC